ATCACCATTTGAGAAACAAATATCAATGTTGTATACCTACAAGGTATTTAAAAAGTTTCAAATTAAAGTTTTATTAGTATTTAGATGTTATCTTATGAAAGAGAAGGAAGATGGGAAAATCATAACATTCAAAGTCTTAGATTTTGAAGAAAAATAAAGACTTTATTATTGAATGGGATGCATCAATGAAGGAGATTTCTTACCTATGTCGTTCATTTGAATATAATGATTTTCTTTGTCATCATTCATTAAGTACTCTTCACTCCTTGTGTTTAACATCTTTTCACGCTACAATCTAAAACGATGGACTAAGGATGTTAAAACCAAACACAATAGGGCAAATATGTGTAAAAAAGTGCTATCAAATAAACAACATTATGATCAGTTGTTTCAAGGAGCCATTGAATTGATTGGAGAAGGCTTCCAATCCTAGGAAAGCTACAATGTTACACATAAAACATTGGAGGATGTCTTGAAGCATTACTTAAGCATTAATCATTCCATTAAAATAAGTACTAACTCTGCATGCGGAGCTAATGGATATGATATTCATAAAGAAAATATTGACAGTAACATATTGCCTAGGTCATTGATACTTGATCCCCAAGTGTCAAAAACAAAAGGAGCTCCAAAAAAAATTAATCATGGAATTGAAGAGAAGCAGAAAAAAAAACGCAAGGAAAAACAATACAGTTTCATATCATTAATTTGATTCTTACTACATAGTAATATTTTTTAAAAAAAAATAAGATTCATACTATTTACAATTATGTACTTTATGAATAATTAAATTTTTTTGTTAGAATATGGTTTACAAAAAAGAAAACTCCAAGGATGGAGGAAAAAACTCTATATAGGATGTGGTATGGAGCTAACTAATATTAGTGATACTAAAAAATAACTTTCATTTCTTATAACTTTTCTTATTACGAAATTTATAACATTTTTATATACTTTCTAAAATAATATTACACTGATGTTTAGGTAATCTCAAATGCATCAATTATATATGAATGTTATCATGGCCAGCAAAGGATAAATGAATTGGTACAAATTATTGCTTTATATTATGTACTATATTTGTTGTTAATCAATAAGTATACAAGTTCATAGACAGATATAATGTTTAATTATACTTTACTTATTCAAGAAACATATATGTATAGGTGTTTAATTTCTTCATTATTTATTTTTTTAATTTTATATTGATGCATGTTCAAGGAACAAAAAGGTCAACAATATTATATCAATATTATATCAATATTATCCATATGAATGTCAGTCCAACAATTTTACACAATATGGTATATATCTAAACTTAACTTTTTATTGTGAATTAAATAATTATTACTTCATTTTAGATTATAATTACCAATTTCTAGTGGCAGCTATGACTAACATTTTAGGTAGTGCCTCAACATTGAATTGGACAACACATTTGATAGATGAAGAAATATTTGAGGTATAATTCTATGACATTGTTCTTATTTATAAGATTTTGTATAATTACTTTTATTGACTTGTTAATATTTTAAATTGCAAGGAAATTTCAAAAAGATTTATTGTTGACTAATCTCTTTAAAGATTTATTTTTTTTTTTTTGTAAATTTAGCATCTCCATTTATAAATTTCCCAAATTTAATAGTACCTATTAGAGAGATATTTTGATATTTTGAATATAATACTATGGTGGAATAAAGATATGGAGGATGCAATAAAAATTTTAGTTTATTTCATTTTTTTTGGTTGCTTAGTGGTGGAAAAAATATTTGTATGGTTTGTTACGCTATGATTCAATAGAATGTTAGTATTATTGAAAATTTTATTATCTACTTGAAAATTTAATTGATAGTATAAGAGCATTTTTTAAAAAAATTTCTTATGGTATAAAAAATTTATTTGCTATTTATTTTTATGGTTACTTTTTTTTTTTTTTTTTGCACTTGCCACATGATTAATTAATTTATTTTTTGAAGTTTATTTTGGTCAGTATTTTTTTTTTTAAAATTTGGACTTGGATAGGTCATGCTCAATTACTTGGTGATTAATTAATATTAAAAATTAAATTGAGTAAAAATATTTTTTAACAATTAATAATAGTTGAAAAAACAAACAAAAATGATAGACTCAATTTTTAATGTAATCATAAAAATTTAAAAAAAAATTGAGATACGTTTGATTATGAAAAGAATTGCATTAAAAAATATTACGTAAAAAATGAAGGAATAGATTAAAAAAAAAGTAGAAATGGGACATTTTAATCTAAAATTTTGGATGAAGTGAAATGATATAACATGAGGCATTTTAACTTTCACGTAACAAAATGTATATATTTGAGATTCGAAACATCTTAACAAATTACCGATTTCCAATTTAAAAAACATGATGCGGTCAATTCTTACATCGAGTGTTAAAAGGACCTGTTCGGACGAGTGTCCGTAGAATCGCCTGCCTTACCCTGTCCTGCCTGAGATTCTTTTATGAAATGATACATGTAAGTATAATGACAACTGGCAAGCAGTCGAATTTAGGTTGAACATTTCATATCTAAATTATTTTGAATTTAGATATTTTTAAATTTAAATAAATTTAAATTTGAGTTAAAATTAAATTCAAATTAATCAGGTATTTTAAATTTTATGTAAAATATTATTGTTTCGTTTTTTTTTAGTTTATTTTTTTCGTTTAAGTAATTTTAGAATTGAATTTTATAAATTTGAATATTTAATTTTTTTTTATCAAATCGATCTAATTTAAATTTAAATATTTTTACAAAATTTTGAATTTGAATTATTTTTGTCACTTTTACTTGAAAAAGGAAACTTTGAAAACTACTATTATTATTAAGTGATTAAGATTATTGTTCTTTGGTGGTTTTTTTTTAAGTTGGATTCACAAAAAAAAAAATTTATATTTGATATATTGTTAATATGTAAATTTTATATATTATCAATAAATTAATAATATTATTTTATTAATGAATAAATTATTTTTTAAAATATTAAATTTTATGTATTTATTTTAAAAATTAATATTTATTTATTAATAAAATATCATCATTTTATTTATTGATAATATATAAAATTTATATATTAATAATTTATCAAATATAAACTCAAAAAAAATTTATATTTAATATATTATTAATATATAAATTTTATAAACTACTAATAAATTAAAACGATGCATCTATATGAAACCCCGAAACCCATCCCTTGGAATTCATCCCAAAAATTAAAAAAAAAAAAGAAAAAGAAGAACGTACACTTAAAAACAACTTGCATAAAGGAAATTTCAAATAAATAAGATAAATCACCCACCTAACCACAATGGTACTTAACTGTTCAAGAGAGAAAAAGAGAAACAAGTGTTATTTTGCATAAGCTTTGGAGCCGGAGGCATGACTCGCACGGCCCAGCAATCAAATGATCATGACCACTGAAGCAATGTGCACTTCTTGAACTCCATGGACATGAATCTCCTACAATGCTTGGAACAAATTCGCTATAATCTCCGTCTCGACCCCTCACCTGCCAGACAGCTCTGAGTCAACTCTCGATTACAAACAGAATATTCAGAGAAAAAAGCATGCCACTTCAGGTAATGTTAACGTTCTTGTCGTCGACCTTGTTTTTTTTCTTGTTCACGGTGCATTTGGCAACAGTATTCTCCTTTTGTAGGATTTCAGGGTTTTAGTTTTGAGCTGTGTTAATCATGGTTCCATCTTCCATTCCATGGTGCAAAATGGTGAATTTTAGCATAACGCAATTGTTTTTTCTATAATCTTTAGACCTTTCTTGTTTAGTGCTTTAATGTTTTGTTTTAAGTTCCAACGCCTGGAAGATTTTTTTGGGCATTTCGTGAATTTTTTTTTAGAGGTTTGAAATGCGTTTTGACCAGCCTTCCAAACACCACCGAAAGAATATGCAAAATGTCGGATATGCCTGGAGATATTTGTAGTAGTGGCCCCTTGGTTTCTTTTTTTCCCTTTTAAGTATTCTTGTCTTTGGTCCATTTTGGCATCCCCGCAGCAGATTTTATTGGCACTACTAGAAGCAAAATGAAGGGCACGCCTAACAAATGTTCAAGGAGACCATCTCAGCCGCCTGACTCGTCACAAGATCAGGTGGGTCACACTCTCGACCACATGTAGATTGCACATTGATCTTTTTATTCATGATCAGATTGTTGAAAATCAAGTTAGCTGGCAAGTTCCAATCTTTACAACAGTTTGTCTTAACTCTTCTGACATTCATGAATTTTTAGTCTTATGGTAAATAAACTTCTGTCATTGCTTTTTTTCTCTCTTAATTGCATGTGTGGGATTCAATCACTTTATCTTTTCTCTACCATCGAAATCCCCATATGTAATGACTAAAGAGTTCTAAGTGTCTTCTCAGGTGGTCCCACAGATTGAAAACAGAACAGGAGATATATAAAGATGAGAAAGAACTTCCCAGTGTATGCCAGTTGCATCCATGGCACCAGCAGATTGATATAAAGATTTATTCTTCTTTGTTTTAGGACTTTTTTTTTTATTAATTTCTTTTCCATTGTTTCTTTGCTTTATGTGTAGTGGGTTTCTTAGTAGAATAGCGGCAGAGTGATTTGTCAGTGAATGTACTATGAAAAATGGTTGAATTATGCTAATGGATGTGTCCTTTCTGCCCCAGAACATTTCTAGTAGTACTTTCCAGGATTATGACAGTTTTGGATTTTATTTAAGCATTTCAGTCAGAAATTGAATTTTAATTATTTAAAGTTAGAATTATTAATAGATTATACGAGCATTGGATTATAGACTGTCGGTAAGTTTTTTCACTTAGTTATAAAACGCCCTTTTAGACTTGCATTTAGGCCAGCTGATTCATGAAAGGTATTTTTTACTATATCTTGCTCAGGATCCTTTCGCTCTTAAAAGTGTACTACTCCCTATGATTATACAATGTTGTGATTGTTTTTATATATACTCGAATTCTTTATTGAAAAGATCACAGGAGATGGCGACAAGGATAAAGAAAGGAGGGACTTCAATCTTTGATCTCTCGGGCACGCCTAATTATCATCCTGATAATAGAGTTCGTTGTTTAATCTCTTCACAAAATAATACCTTACTAATTTACATATATAGTACATATATAAAAACCTATCAGATGAAGTTAAAAGTGTATCTTACCCTATCTGTTGCAAGCGACCGGTGCATGGCAATGTTTTAGGCTAACTGGGCATAACTTGAATTTTATAAACGTCAATGGACAATGATCATGTTTTGGGATCTCAACAACAGAAATTACATATTACCAAATATGATGTTTACCTGGAAGATTTTTATTTGGATGTGTTTGGTGCAATTTGTAGTTAAATTCTCGAGCTAGCTACCATCAAATGACTAGCGGTTGCAGGAAGAAAAAGAGAGGCCGCTTTCATTCCTATTCAAATACTTTTCACTTCTGTTTGAAGAATTTAAATGGAAATTAAGAAAGCAAAAGAAAAAAGTGAATGTAAAAAAGAATTTTATTATCAGAGCATGGCTCTTCATGCACAAACTCAAACCAGCATTAATAATTAACAAAATTATGTTTTTCAGTTCATTATTAGTTTTCAAAGAGGCAATAGTTATTTCTAACTTGAAGTTAATCCAAATGAAAGAAAACAACTTTTCATTGCATTTGAGTCCTAAACATATTCCCTTTTCATTCCCTAAGCAATAATTGAATGTTTCATTCCTATTTCTATTATTTTCAGATTATCATCACTAATTTACATTTATATTTCCATCCCTGCAGTAATTGTTACCCACCCATTGTGAGAGAAGAACAAAAAAATGCTTGTCTTACGGCCCAGAAAAGTTATCAGGTTAATGGTAAGAGAACTGAAGCTAGTCTTAAAACAATCCAAATGGAAAACAACCTAGCTTCCTGAAGCAAGGATCTTTGATCGGAAGCAGGAGAGGGGCATTTTCAAATATTTGTAGTTCTAATCTCGACCTAACAAACTTGTGCACAAATGAACTTCCATTGGGGTTATCTAGAGGAAATACATAAAGTCACCGATTTAGATGAAATCAAACAAACTTAAGATGAAGAAATTGAGAATCGATCTGCAACCATCAGTACTAGCTGTTTCAGTGAGTTGTACCAGTATTAGAATTCCTCAACCTCAAGGTAGGATTGGGAATAGTGTCCTCTTTTGAGTGTGAGAAGTGTCAGTAGAAATAATACTGCGTCGGAGAAAATGAAAAGATGAAAAACAGGGAAAAAAAAATTTAACAGTCAAATGTTGGACTCCAAGGCCCAACCGGAGACATTTACTACTTCATTTCCTTTTTTTAAATTAATTTTTTTATAAATTAAATTCGATTATATTATCTTATCCCTTCTTCTCATCCTTATATTTGTTTGGATTTTAAATCCAAAATTAAAAATAACCTTTTATATTTAAAAAATAACACGAGAAGTCAAATGCTTATATAGGTGAATCAAAAACAAAAACATTTATAAAAAATAAATTGAATGCTATTGTAATCAAATCTAAATTTATATGATCTGTTAGTACGGGACTCTTAATTTTAATAATTAAAATTTAAATTTTGATAATTTTAAATATGAAAAAAATTGTTCATACAAGGAGAAAAAGCCTAATTCACAGAGCCAATAGGGAAAGGCAGATTTTTAATGTAGCATTTCTGTTTCAAGGTACAACGTGGACAGGACGCGCATATCAGTTGGGCTTCATTGAAGTCAAGGCCGACAAAACGAAGGAAACAAAACGACCCAAAGTCCAAACTGCAAAACTTTCCTAGCATAAACATATTCCCTAGTTCCACGACAAAACCATCGGGATGTCTCAATCATTTCTCTCGACGCTCCAAATTCCTTGGAGCAAACAAGCAATGTTACCTTTCTTTCAAGTTTACAAGAATCTTATACTCCAAACCTTACTCTTTTTGTCACTCACTTTAATCCTTACATTCCTTAAAATCCCAATTTTCTTTTTCCAGGGTCTCCACACTTACATCCACCCTGAAAACGTTGGTCACTGTAACAACGCCTCTTCTGGTGTTAGAACTGCTATTCGTAGACTTTCTGGCTCGGATTCAGGACCTGGACTTGATGGTTACCAATCTTTGTCATCAAGGAACAATGCAGAGCTCAAAAAGAGGAGCAAATCTAAAGACATCTTCGAGTTCGATGAAAACAATGCCCAGATCTTCGGGCTGAAACTCGATGATGGTTACCAATCTTTGTCATCAAGGAACAATGCAGAGCTCAAAAAGAGGAGCAAATCTAAAGACATGTTCGAGTTCGATGAAAACAATGCCCAGATCTTCAGGCTGAAACTCGATGAGGGTCCTCTTCAAACAAGGCTTTTTTTCAATGGGTATCACAATTCTTTTGTTTTCTCCTTTGTGGGTATTTCTTGTTTGTTGCTTTGGAAGTATTTAGGTGAGTCTAAGGGTTCCGGGGTTTTGGCAAATGGGAATTTGATTCCGGTTATTTTTGGATTTATTGGTTTAACCAAAGTGTTTTAATCACTTGCAAATATATCGTTTGAGAAATCTGCTTCTAAGAGGTCGGAGAAGCAATTTAGTGCTATTTTTGGCGTTGTGAGGTTTCTTATAGGGATTATGATTTGTTCTGGAATTGGACCGTCGGTTTTCGATTTCCATTCGATTCAGTTGAAGGGTCTTGGAGGATTTTCTTTGCTGTTTTGGTGGGATTCCTTGCTGGTTTTTTTGTATGCCTGCTGGGAAGAATGCTAGGTCCTTTTGGCTTGGCACTGATCAGCTTAGATGTAACTTGTCCATAATTTATTGTGGATGGTTTGCTAGAATGATTTTATATGCTAATTATTTGTTAACTTTGTTCACAGCTTTACTTTGGATTAATCCACTAGCTGAAATTCTTGTTAACAAGAATACTTCTGATGGTAGAGGAGCTCATGAGAAGTTGTTTGGAAATGTGGGTTTTTCAAAATTGGATTTTTCCAAGTTTAGGGTTTTGTGCTTATTGCTTTCCGGGGTCTTACAAATTGTGGCTTTACGTTCAAACCTGCAGATGTTTTTGAATGAAGCCGTTTTGTCTTGGTACTAAAGATTACATGCCAGCAAGGTCCCGATTTGGGTTTTAGTCGTGCAAAGGTATTTTTGCACAATCACTAATTATGCCTTGAAATTTTGCAATTCTTTGCACCACCAGTTTTGGTACTTCTCTTTCTTGGCTTATCTCAGGTTGACAGTAACTCATTTGGCAAGTACAACTTGGTTTGTGGTTTTCTGCCTTATTCTGCTTTTGTTAAAGAAGTAGCTTTGTTTATGGCTTGGTGGATCATATTTGTGTGGGCGGTTATTACTTCAGCAAGTCTGCTGTTTTATCTTCATGGTATTTTGTATGTTTTCTGATAACTTGGTTTTTTGTACTGACCTTCAGCATCTGGCCTTTACTTGGTATTTTTTTCCTATTTTTGGATGGAGATTGTTTTCCTTGTAACAGATTATTACAGATGTTTGTCAATAAATTGTAATGGAATACATGGGGCAAGAAAAGCTCTTCTCAAATGTTGTTTCATTTCAGTTTATTTCATTTATTGTTTCTATAATCATGCCTGTCTAAAGATGTAGTTGGAACTTTGCAGAAGTGTGCAGGTGTAGGATGATGTGAAGCGTAGTTGAATTTTTTTGGTTTCATATTTCATTTCAGTTTATACAATTTATGGGTTCTATGGTCATGCCTGTCTAAAGATGTAGTTGAAACTTTGCAGAAATGTGCAAGTGTAGGGTGATGTGAACCATGGTTGAATTTTTTTGGTTTCATATCTATTATTCATAAGAGAGGTGTAAACTGCTGTCAGGATGCATATCTGGATGCTTCCATCTATTATTTTCTGAACAATTGTGCTGCTACCAGGTGAACTAAGCAATATAGTTTCCTGGTATTATTGTCATCATTTTCCCCTCTATTCTTTTGTGTTGAGTGTAAGGACCTCTTATTGCTTCATGATCTTGACCTGCATTTTGCTCTCATAAGGTAAGTCATGTTTCCAATTTCATGCTACAGAACTGTCATCCTATCATTAAGCTGTCATGTGAGATACAAACTGTAATTGATATAAGTTTTTTTACTGTCATTTAAGTACACTGATTCTGCATGAACTTTTTTAGATTATGTAGGAATTCTAAAATTTGTGCAGATATTATATTGCTGTTGACTTTTTGGAGTACTTGTTACATGTTTGAATTTATGGTTTTGAATTATGCTATGTTAGTTGCAGAAAACAACAAATGCAGTTTTCTTGTTTTAGTTGAGTGGATGATTTTATCATTGTCGACGTGTGTAGCTTGTCTTGTATATGTGGTAGTAATTGTAATTTCTTGCCAATTACCTGTGAGGAAAATTTTGAAGGCCAATGATTAGGTAGGTAAATTTGTGAGCATCTATTGGTATGTAATAGAAAGCTGATTGTTAATGACTTCTCAGCTCTCGCAAACCTGATAAAGAGTCGTTTTCTGTTGGATGGAGAAATGCCAATTTTCATGTCTTTTTCTCTTCCCATGCAATGTTTGGCATCATTTTGAGCGCCAATTGATTCTTGGTCGTAAAAGCAACGGGGCAAATTTGGATCCAAAAGAGGGGAAAAGTTTTTATTCTTGGAATTTAGGAAAAATCTTCCAAAAAAACAGGGGAAACGCTAACCACGCAAGGGTACTAAGCCCAAACATTGTCTCTAACAAAGCTTTTCATGGTTAATTATCCTGGAGAAGAATTGTTGTTGTTGCTAGTTCTTGAAGAACAAGGAGAAAGAAAAATGGAGTTCAAAACCTAATTAAGTGCTACAAATTGAGAAACTTTCTTGTAAGTAAAAGTAAGATTATGAGCTGTCTCTATGTAATTTTCTTTACAGATTTTACAATAAATATAAACTAGTAATATTCCCCATCTATAACTATACATATTACTACTTAAACTGTGGGACTCGAAAGTGAAAAGTAGTAAGTAATAAAAAAGAAGGAACTTGGACAGCGAACGGCCCAATAGTTTCAGAATTAGCTTGGACATCTTCAAAATTTGATCGAATCCTTGTAGCTAAAATAAAGTCGTTTGATTATAGGTAGCTATTTAGGTGACTCGTAAAAACTTATTACAGATTTTATGATTAATTTAGGTATTGCGAACTTGATACGATTTTAACATTTTTGCATTATTTAATAAGATGGAAAAATGGAAAGATGAAATTTTGAAAGAGAAAAACTTGCAAATATGAATTAACATATATTTTTTATTAGTGTGCCTGGTAAAAAAAATAAAATATACAATTTTATTTCCATACATTGTTTGGTATAATTAAAAATAAAATATTATATTATATTTTTTAATCATTATACCTATTGTAATTAATATATAAAAACAAATTTAAATATAATATGATTAATTTTGTAAATATGTAATGTTTGATTCGCAATTCATACGATTTTTTTCTTTTATCTAAGCAACTTTTTTAATTTGAAATAATTTATTTTTGTGAATAAATATAGAATAATATTATTTTTTTTCTCTCATAATCAAATATACTCAAATTTTATTTATTTTTTACTCTCTCTTGTTTATCCCTTCTCTTTTCTACTCGTATATTATTTTATTTATTTATTTATTTATTTTGGGTAACAATACTTACAAGAATGTAGCTTTCGCCCCGCCTATGGCCTATAGCCTATGGCCTATGGCTCAAGGGGCTCATAAAAGGTAGTGAAAATTTGATAAACTATTATCGATTATACGTTCAATTTCAGGTATTGAGTTTTCAAATATTTTCAGTAAATGATTGAAGTACCAGTTTGTTTATGGTCACACCCACACCATGGTTTAAAAATAATAATAACTAGATTTCTACCCTCACTTTTTCGAGGGTTTTTTTGTCAACATCAATTTTCTTTTATGCTAATTTCTTTTTCATTAGTAGAGAATAATGAAGCGGAGGCATCAACATTACTTTGCTCATTTTACTGCCAGCTAGTTCTCACATTAAATTCATTTTCAAATGCTTTATTAACAACAAGCATGAATGGTGATGGTTGAAAAAGTTCTAAGATAACATGCTACAAATAAATCAAATCAAATTTTATTTTCAAAGGAAAAAGAAAAAAATAGTCGCCAAACTTAAATTGAAGTAAATTTTCAACTGAATTAGAAAATATATCAAAGGGAACAACATTCAGAAATATTTTAACATTTTACCACAAAAATGAAAGAAAAATAATAGAGTTGCATCATATCAATCAAAACTTCAAACAATCAATGATTGTTGCACTCTCTTGAAAAATTATGTGTAATGTCTTATAACTATATCATGAAGATCTAAAAGCCTAGCTCTAAAATACCTCGAAACTTTTGAGAATAGAACCCATAAGATGTAGTCGGGCCTCGTGAACTTTGGATAGTTGGTGTGTTGGTTTTGACCTAGAGTCCCGATTAAAATTGAGATTCCTCAATTAATTTGAATGGCCTTTGCTGCTCTTCTATAGATTGAGCTCTATAACCCTTCAATAGTGTAATAGTAACTTCTTATTATCTTAGAACAAATAAACTCCAAACCCATTTAAATATATAAAATAACAACAAGAAGTACTTAAAATACAGATAGTTCATTCAAAAGCAAATAAAAACTAATAAACTCTTGGAAAAATCATTCCAAATTGATGAAGATAATGAGAAGCTAATATATAGACAAACGATTTAAAGCATTTAAATTCATCAAAATTGACAACCTAAAGTAAATTTAAGGCAAATAAAAATCTGATTAACCCAATCTAAATTGCATGCATTTGAATCGAGTAATGAAAAGGTAATAATTGGAAACAACAGAAAAGATAAATAAATACCCATGGAAATTCAAAGCAAACCATTGGTTATCTACATGAGGAGATTAAGAAAAAGGTATTGGTCAATACTTTTGAAGTTATATTCTAAGTGAATCTTTTGAAAAATGCTTAGAATGGAATAATACATGTCCAATAAAGATTGACAAGTTACTTACAATTATTCCATATCATATTCACAAGCATGCAATTATTTACGAAAGGCATAAACAAAAATTTAGTTTGTACATCAAACATCCATGTGCAATCCAAAATGAAAGAAAAAATCTACCTTTTGTGCATCCTTTGTAGTAGCAAATTCAACATGTCTATACCTCTTAAAATTTTTTTCAGCATCAATGGAAAAACATATTTCCATAATCTCACCAACATCTTTAAAGAAATTCCTTTTGTAGAATAACATTGATAAGATAAAAATAAAATTTTAAAAAAATCAATTCAAAGCGAGTCAAAAACCTAAACGTACACATCATCTTGTTCAACTTGAAAAGGTAAGTTTCCAATAAATAGTGTCTTTCCAACAAAGGTAAGTTGTAAGGTAGCTTGAGATTGGTTTCAAACTAGGTGGAAGAAAGTCCTAAGTTTTTATTTTATTCTAATAATAAACAAAAGCTTCAGGACATGCCAAAAATTTACTTCTTCCTCATAAGGTTCATCTTCATATATAATTTATATCATTCAAGTCTAGGCACAATTCTTTTATATTATTTGAGTTTAATTATAATTTAAATTCATGTATTTTTAATTTCCTTATTGGTGGAATTGTTATGCTCATCTTAATTTTTAGCAATTTAAAATTTCATATTCCAATTTACTTTTAGAATAATTTATTTTTATACTCTTTAGATCTATTCAAAACAAAATAATATAATAATAATGAAAGTCTTTGAGGATGAGAT